CTTGCTCCAAACCTGTCAGATGACAGTGCTGAAGGCTATTTATGTTTCTTGTGAGCACAGAACAAATTATTCGGGGGGTGGGAGGGAAGCATCATTTGAAATGAATTGACTGTAAGATTTCACAGCAAAATGCACACCTACCTTTAGAAAGTGCAGAAGAATTCTCTTAAATCACACCCTTCCCCATAACCTGAGAAGTTTTAACATAGAACAATCTTTTGCCTATTTTTCAGGCAGAAAAATAATTGTAATCCAGAAAAAAGGAAGAGTCAAATTATGGATCTGTTTTTCATGGACCCTTATATGCCTCAATATAGATTTTTGCAAGATCTGGTAACTTTTTTGATGTATAGCTTAGCATGCAAATAGTAGTACTTGCTAGTATGTCTCCTTGCAAATTTCTGGCTTCTAAGAAGATACAGAAGTTAGTTGAAATTTTGTGAAAAGGAGGAAGTACTGAAAACAGAAGCCAATTAGTGAAACCTAATAAAGGAGGCCCTGTAGGACCAGATTTAAGACCAGATGTAGGAGCAGTCCTACGTTCCCGGAATCAGTAGGCACAGATTTATTACCAGTGGAGTTTCTAAGCCCAGCTTTTATCTTCCATTTTCCCTGGCAAGAATTTACATGGGCTTCTGGATTTTGGAAGCAAGATGGATGAGAATACATGAGGCTACATTTCACTAAAGCACTGTGTTTGTATAGTTTCATTTATTCTTTGTCAGGAATTTAATAAGTAACATGTAAGCACTATTATTTAATTAAGTCAATCAAGATTTCTTTTTAGAGGAATACGGCTTCTTAAAATGTCTAGCTTGGAGGAAAACCTATTTAAAAGTCTGTTGTTTACAGACTGCTGTAGGTAAAAATCTTCTAATAATTTTCTATGACTAATACAGAGAAGAATTAATGGAGGGTGACAGAAAAACTTGCCAAAGTTCAGTGGTAACAGCTGTCCCAATTTTTTTTTTTTTTTTTGTCATTCAAGAGGCTGCTTTTTATCAAGGTTTAGTAGTGATTTCAGATGGCTAGTAATAAATTAAACAAAGAAAGCTTGACACAAATTAACCTTAGACATAAGGTAAAAGTACATTTAAAGGCCTTTCTGTACTACAGAACCTTTATAAACAGACCTTCTATTATCTTTTGTTAATATTGTAGCATAGCTACCTGATCTTATAATCTCATCTGGCAAAATGAACAACAGTATCATGAGCACAATAAACTCTTCATATGTCAACAGCAGAGTGAGGGGAAGAAAGCAAAGCAGGCAGTGATTTGGGGTCTGTCACAGGTGGGAGTTTTTCTTGTCCTAATTTCCCACATTTTCCAGGGCAATTTATTCTGATGATATGCAAACTTTAAGTAATTTAGTAGTGTAATAACTAATTTATTGAATAACATTAATTCTGAACCAAAGAATGAAATGGTGAAGTCATCTCAGTAATGACAGAGATGGATTGTTGTTATTAACCAAAAAGATCTGAACAGGCTTAAGCATGCTACATGAGAAAAAACATGAGATTTAAGAAGCTTTATAAGAGCAGATAAGCAATCAGGTTGTCAATGGAAGATATGAATTGCCATTGGCAGGGACAATCAAAGTAAGAATGTAGCATTTTAGAGATGATACAAGAAAAATGCAATAAATAATTACACCATGCTAAAGGAAGATGTGTATGTCTAGGCATTCTTTAACCAGGTGATTATATGACATATGCATAGAATTACTCAAAGCTTTATTTGGATTCTTTTATGGTTACAATGCTTTTGTTGTAGAATGAAACATCCTTCTTCCTTCTTAACCGTGTTTTCCATTTCAGCATCAAGACCTGCAGTACATGATTGAGAACATATGGGGCTGTCAGTCAGCTCTCAGTGCCTGCCGTGACCTCTATGATTTGGTTATGGTCAGATGGGATAAGCAGCGTGAGTGGTCTCCGTGGAACACTATTCTCCTCACTAAAGATGAGGCAGGTGCACATCTTGGGCTGTGTAACCTTCAGGAGGTAAAATTTGATGGATTTAGTTTTTTACAATATTTATGTTATGTTTTAATTGAATCCTATGACTAATGATATTTGGCCAAATTTAGCCCCTACACTCATCCATGTTTAAATTGGCCCATTGTGACTATTTAAATGATTGCATCTGTACTATTAAATAAAACAGGCGCCAGTCCAGAGGGCAGCTGACATAGTACAGCTCACATCCATGTACTTGAACTCTGTCTTGCCCCAGTTGTCTCTCCTGAAATGCAAGAAGCTAAGTGGCCTGTGCTCTTCCCTCAGCTGAGATCAGACAAGACCTGGCCTGGATGAAAAACATCCTAAGGACTAACCATAAATACTGTGACAATTGCGTGCCTGTGGTCTTGCACATGCTCTGGCCTCATTAGTTTCCGGCCTTATAAATTTCTCACTAAATAACAGAATGGCTCTTTGTCTAGAACTTAACCATTTGTCATAATAAAATTTGTCTCAATTTACTTTCTTACATAGATGTCATTTAAGTACCCCTGACAATGTAATCTTATAGTTTGTAGTTAAGCAATAAAAACGTAATTGCTCTTCTGAGTTGAAAAAACTTAAAAATTTGTTAAAGAAGTCATTGGGACTGTGTATTTTTATACCACTCCCCCCAGATTCCATATCTAAACATGGTAGTCTGCTAAATACCTCACTCCACTGGACATTATATTGTAGAGTATTTAGTTTTCTAAGGCACAACAGAATCCTGTGAGTTCTGTTTGTCCTGCAATTAGTAATGGATTATTAAGCCTTTCACCTCTAGGTTATTGGTTTATGTAAGTAGTGATCTGAGGTCATTGTTGTATTAGTGTCCTTTTGTTCAGGGTGCTCTTAATTCAATTTCTAGCACAACATGTGTGCATCACAAATCCAACTTCATCTGTTACTCGTTGCCCTATTTGTTGGAAGTCTTGAGAGTATCTGGTACCTAAACTGACAGAGCAAATTAATTGCTCTCTTAATGAAATGTTTGTTTTGGGCATGAAATATATTAGTCAGGGAATTCTAAGGGTAAAAGGAATTCTGCCATCCATGATATTTTTTGTGTGTGTGCCCAACTTGTGTCTTCAAGCACTTACATGTTTATGTGAGCATTAGCTTTAAAAGGTAAAATCAGTTTCAAGCTGGAAATTCCTTTATTGACTCCTCTGTCTCACTTCCAGTCAACAAGGCTGCTCAGGCAGTCTGAATCTAGCGATGCCTCTCTGCATCCATAAATTTATGTTATATATATGTTATTATTACCATTATGGCAGGCAAAGATTCTGATTATGCACTTGTCTGGTTTAACTTCCTAAGTCTGGATGTCATAGTCAAAGAGATGGCATTAACTTGATTAGGTCCAGAGCTTCAGGGGAGGTGGGAGTTAGGCCAGAAGAGCAACAGGTAAGGTAGGCAAGCCTACGTAAAAATCATAAGGTATTTTCACTTAGCTCTGCTTTCACCTGCTACAAAAAGAGAAGGAGGACAGCTCTAGTGAGGAGTCATCTTTCTTCACTGGTAATGGCCGAAGCTCTATTTCAAAAAAAATGAGTGTGAAATAAGGAAAATGAGGCAAAGTTAGAATGTCATAAGCTGAATCATTGTTTTTCATTCACTGAAACAAAAAAAGGCCTCTCAAGCACTTTCTTTAATAGAAATTATGCATAATGATGACTATAGCGAGAGCAAGGGTTTTTTTCAACTAAATATTCTGGTTATTTATTACATCATCTGAACTACTACTAATTACTAGAAGTTTAGGAAAATGTCACCACTGAACTCAAAGGCTGATTGAAATGCTGCAAAATGCTGCCATGATTATTTGTAAGTAATCACTCTGATTCTTATGAAGGAAATTTCCCGTAGGCATCACCTTGCAAATGTTGATATTTAAGCATTGCCTTTTTTAATTTTCAAAGGCAAGTACAAATGTTCTTACCTGGAAAAAAAATAAATAAGTATTATCTTGAACAGATTAAAAAATGTCAGAAGTTTTTCTGGTTTTAAAATATTTCACGTGGTTAGTAATTTTCACTATTGGGCCATAAGGTAGCAGTATAGAACTACAAAATACTTCATTATGTATCATACATGAATAAATTATCTGGCTTAGTTTATTGAAGGGTCGCTATTTATACTGTGTAAAATATGAAGCAACATGTAGATTGCTAGATATTGTAATTGTATTTAATGGGATTTGGATTTTTTTTTCCTTTCAGGCTTATGAAGCGGCATTTATTCACAGAATAAAACATAAGCATATCCGGGCAAAAACCTACTTTGCTCAGATTCCGGCGATGGCATCATTTTTGCATAGGAGTGACAATCAGGCTAATGCAAATGAATTTTTAATAGCTACGCCTATTCCTCCTGGTAAAAAAATATAAGTCTTAGGCAAAGTTAACTGAAGTTAAAGAAGTAAGCTGAATTACTGATTAATACAATTTCCTTGGTTTTAAAGAAATGTATTTTTTCATCAATACCTTAACTGTATTACACATATCAAAATAAACTTCTGAGGATAAAATAGTTCGATCCTGACCAGTCAATATAACTGCATTTCATGTTTCATAACCTCATTATTTAAACATAAAAATGTTGTTGATGAGCTTTGTAAATTCTAAATTTTTAGAGCAATGACTGTCTTTCTGTGGTGGGTTGACCTTGGGTGGCTGCCAGGTGCTCACCAAGCTGCTCTATCACTCCCCCTCCTCAGCTGGACAGGGGAGAGAAAATATAATGAAAGGCTCGTGGGTTGAGATAAGGACAGGGAGAGATCACTCACCAGTTACTGTCATGGGCAAAACAGACTTGACTTGGGGAAAATCAGTTTAATTTATTACCAATCAAATCAGAGTAGGGTAATGAGAAACAAAACCAAATCTTAAAACACTTTCCCCCACCCCTCCCTTTCTCCTAGGCTCAACTTCACTCCCAAATTCTCTACCTCCTCCCTCCAGCAGTGCAGGTGGATGGGGAGTGGGGGTTGCGGTCAGTTCATCACATGTTGTTTCTGCCGCTCCTTCCTCCTCACACTCTTCCCCTGCTCAGCATGGGGTCCCTCCCATGGGAGACAGTGCCCCACAAACTTCTTCAGCATGGGTCCTTTCCACAGGCTGCAGTTCTTCGTGATCTGCTCCAGCATGGATCCCTTTGATGGGACGCAGTCCTGCAGGAGCAGACTGCTCCAGTGTGGGTCCCCCACCAGGTCACAAGTCCTGCCAGCAAACCTGCTCCAGCGTGGGCTTCCCATGGGGTCACAGCCTCCTTCAGGCACATCCACCTGCTCTGGGGTGGGGTCCTCCCTGGGCTGCAGGTGGATATCTGCTCCACCGCTAACCCCCATGGGCTGCAGGGGCACAGCTGCCTCACCATGGTCCTCACCACGGGCTGCAGGGGAATCTCTGCTGCGGTGCCTGGAGCACCTCCTGCCCCTCCTTCTTCACTGACCTTGGTGTCTGCAGAGTCCTTCCTCTCACATATTCTCGCTCCTTTCTCCAGCTGCTGTTGCCCAGCCGTTTTTTTTCTTTCCCTTTGTCGCTGATGGGCTCGGCCTTGGCCAGCGGTGGGTCCATCTTGGAGCCGGCTGGCATTGGCTCTGTCGGACATGGGGGAAGCTTCTAGCAGCTTCTCACAGAAACCACCCCTGTAGCCTCCCCTGCTACCAAAACTTGCCACGCAAACCCAACACACTTTCTGTGTATGCTTGTGTTGCTTGGAACAGTCTGTCTATATTGTAATGTTCCTCTTGGGGGAATTTAGCTAATTTTTTGTCACCTTTTAATTAGAAAAATAATACGATAAACACTGTATTAAATTTATTTCTCTCATCTTAAGCATATGAGGCAGAAAACCCCTCAAACCCTAAATTCCAACAGAACAACAGAATTGATGTGCCTTTCCGAATATAGCTCCTTTGCCTTGCAAACATTTTTGCAAAAGCATAACTTTACTTTTTATAGCCCGTCATGATGGTCATAGTGGAACTGCCAGCATGTAATTATTGTTTCCAAGATCTTGAAATTATTGTAAATCAGACTTATAATTTGAAATACACAATGCAGACTGTTTGGAACATGTTTATTTTTTCAGGGGCTTGTGTTATTTAAAGTAGAAGTCAATTGTCTCTGTAAACTTATTTAGTTATGTTTGTGTTTGATTATAGTTACAGAGAAAAATACGATATGGTGAACATTCAATAAAGTCCTACAGAAAGTTGCAAAGTTCTGCTTCCAAACTCTGTTCTAGACATGCTTTTGACCCAGGACAAAGCCTTTTGCTCTGACAAATAAAACTGTCTAGGAAAAAGCAATAGCATTTACAAACAGAAATAAGCATATATTTAGCAGCAAACAGCTGGAAACAGGATTGACTCCCTCAACAGAACATGAACTGTAGAACTAGTACCCAAATGACCAGTGCATTCTAACATCAGTGGAAGTCTTTCTATTGATTTTACCATGAAATCCAGATTCTGGATTCTAGAATTGCAGAACTGAGGCACACAAGCATTCCGGTTGACTTATGTGCTTTCCAGGATTTGAGTCTTAAGGTAGGAATGGCTGCTAAGTTTTGGCTTCTTCCAGAGTGATAAAAGGATTTTTGAAGAAAATTACAAGTTGAAGGGCAAGAAGGAAAACACAAGTTATGCAGATAGTAACCTACCTCTTCATAAATTTGTTGCCTTTCTTTTTAAACGGCTTTTAAATAACTTACATTACAACCCCAGAAGGATGATTCAAACAAACAGTAAGGAAACAGTTCAAACAAATGTGAAAAGCCACTAGTCCATTGATTTAAGTGCCATGTAGTGTTAGAGATTTTTGGAATGTACAGAATCATAGAATAATTCAGGTTTGAAGGGACCTCAGGAGTCCACCTCTTACTCAAAGCACAGTCACCAGTAAGGTCAGACTGAATTGCTCAAGGCCTTATCCATTCAGGTCTTGATAAACCTTCAAGGATGGAGAATGCGTAACCTGTAGTGGCAACATGCTCTAGTGCTTGACTGTCCTCATCTTAGAGAAGTTTTTCCTTTCCATAGAGTATGTTGTCTCTCATCCTCTTACCATTCACACCTGTAAAGAGCCTGGCTCCATCTTCTTAATAATCTCTTTTTAAGTCTTGGAAACCTGCTATCAGGTTTTCCCCAAGCCTTCTTTTCTCCAGGCTGAACAAGCCCAGTTCCCTCAGCCTCTCATTGCGTATCAAGTGTTTCTGCCCCCTGAGCTTCTTGGTGAACCTCTGTTGAACTTGCTGCAGTTTATCAAAGCCCTTCTTGATTTGAGGGGCCCCAAACTGATGCAGTATTACATACAGATTTATGCTTGAAGAGTTCTAGACTCTATATTCAGTTTGATATTCTCAAGCAAACAAATGTTTTGTCCTGCTAGACAATTGCTCTCACACAACATTTTTTTGGTTTATGCAGAAATCCACAAGGTAGTTGTCCTGGTTTCGGCTGGGATGGAGTTAATTTTTTTCCTAGTAGCAGGCACAGTGCTGTGTTTTGGATGTAGTATGAGAATAATGTTGATAATACACCGATGTTTTAGTTGTTGCTAAGTACTGCTTATGCTAGTCAAGGACTTTTCAGCTTCCCATGCTCTCCCAGGTGCACAAGAAACTGGGAGAGGGCACAGCCAGAATGGTTGATCCAAACTGACCAAGGGCTATTCCATACCACATGACATCATGCTCAGTATATAAACTGGGGGGGGATGGCCGGGGGGCAGCGATCGCTGCTCGGGAACTGTCTGGGTATCGGTCGGTGGGTGGTGAGCAATTGCATGGGGGCATCACTTGCTTCGTATATTGTTATTACTGTAATTATTATATTGTTATTATTACTACTACTACCACTACTATTTTACTTTATTTCAATTATTAAACTGGTCTTATCTCAACCCGGGAGTGTTTCTCACTCTTCCGATCTCTCCCCCATCCCATTGGGGTAGGGGGAGTAAGCGAGCGGCTGTGTGGTGCTTAGCTGCTGGCTGGGGCTAAACCACAACAGTGGTGCCTGACAAAGGCAGTGCCAGTTAATCACACCATGAAAGCTCTTGTGTAAATAGTTAAAAATTTGTGTTGCAATTATTGTGAATCAGATACTTGACTAATATCTGGGACATGGGTGTCCACTAAGAAAGTGACTCCCTGTATGAAGTGAAAACTAAAGTCTTCCTTCAAGTCAGTGTCCAAAAATGGCTGTTGAAAGCATAGAAATTGAATGTTTTGGAGGACATGATGTATTGAAAGAGAGTTGTTGAAAAATGGAAAAAGTATTTTCAATATTTTGGATATCTAATTGAATCCTTTTGTTAGGGCAAAGCCAAGTAAAGCCAACATAAATCAAAAATAGGGTAATTTTTTTTTTTTTAAATCTAGTATAATCAAAATCAGTATAAAATCCTTCATGTTAGTTTTCTTTAATTGCTACTTTGGTCATCATAAATGTTTTGTTGATATTGTTACTGAATTTAAAAACAATTATTTTTTTTACCGCTTTTTGTCCACAGCAGTTGTAATTGTATTGCATTTTGAAAAGCAATTAATTTAAAACTTTTCTCTAATAGTTACTGTGTTGCTTCACCTGTTTATGTAGCTTACAAATTATATGAAAAAGGTACTGGACAAGTATAAAGAATGAAAGAATTCTCTGTATCAGGCAGTGGCGAATACTGGAAAAGCTGACTGAGAAGATGAGAGTCAGATTAAAGATATATTTCTAGGAGAAGTCATTGCATTTTATCAGGAAAAGAAAACTGTTCAGATAAAGGGTCACATCTGCTAGTTTCTATTAGAACTGAGTAAATTCTTTAAAAGCACATCTGATCATCTTTGCTTGAATTTCAGAGTTACTCACAAGATGCTTTTGGAACCTATTGGTAAAAAAAGCCTCTGTTTTGGAGCCTAGATCTTTCCTGGATAATGAGAACAAATGATTGCAAAGTGTCAGGGCCTCTTCGAAGGAGAATCGACTGTAAGATGAAATTCTAACCTTCTTTCTTCACTTCTGAGAAGTGGCTAAAGTGATGGGCTTATAAAGTCTCTTAAATCATAGCTTAGAGGTTGAGACTGTGAGGAGTCCACACTCCTGAAACACTGGTGAGAAATGCTGGGTTTGCCTCAGTTCTTTCCCAGATGTAGATGCTCACTACCAGGAAAAGGGGATCGATCCGTGTGGCTTGCATTCCTCCTTCTGCACTAGCAGAGACACAAGACCAATTAACACCCGCAGCTTCCCTCACAGGACTCTTTTGTGAGCAAGACTCTTCAAGCGTGAAGCAAAATTTGCCTTCTACCCACCTCCAACACCACTGGTAATCCATTTCCAGAGGGAAAACTTCCGGCTTTCTTCCTGCATGCACAAGCAGGTAGTATGTTAATTTGGCAAAGAAGAACATGCATTTTGCCTTCCCACTCCCAAGAGGAAAGTCCATACTTTTTCCAGGATGTAAATTTCCCTATTTATGTCTCAAAGGAAGAAGAACTCAGAGTAATTGCTCCCTCCACC